ACTTGTTGGAGCCGGGGCTGGACCCCGGGCGCCCTTCTTAGAGGTTGCACCTCGGCCACGGGTGGCCTTGGATGTCCTTGGGGGGTGCGCAGGTGGTAGAACAGGTGCGGTGATTCGTGCCGACCTGCGGAGGGGTTCTGTTGCTAGGCCGTCGTGACCTTGCCCCTCTACCACTGCTGCTTCGACTTCCCTCATCGTTGGCAGCTAGGGTTCTTCGATCTGCCGTATTGGTCGAGTTTGCGGGTTGAACCATTTTCGCTTGCGTGTTGGTTTAAAAGAATTGGGATGACTTAGATTGTCTTTCCCACAGACGGCGCGAAATGTTTATGCAAGGATATGCACAACAGTGTGTTTCAGATTGCAGCTCGAACTTGGCCTCCGGACCGATCTGAATACTTGGGCGGACCTGCACAAAAAATGTGAGCACTCCGACGATCAAGTCAGTATAGGTCGGATTCCCAGTTTAGTTCGAGGTCAGAAATCATCATACCTGATCGTGGAGTGAGGTCCTCTACTTATGGGTGGTAGTCCCGCTAATCTCGCGATGGTTACACCCGGTAATCTCGGGACTGTCGGTTACACCCGGTAATCTCGGGACCGACGGTTACACCCGATAATCACGTCGCTGACAGTAGCTCACCTCGGCCCCCACCGAGCTTCCCGGTAGATCGGACCTCAGCCAGGTTCACATTGGCCCTCATACTTAGCATCTGTCAACGCTAGTGGTGGTGATCTCGGCGGCCCGAGCTGGGCATGACTCATGAGTCATCTTGGAGCACCAATAGGGGTCCTCCACGTGTCCAGGGTATTCTCTTCCCCAAACAATGATCATAGCTCAATTTATTAATATATGATTTGTCACTTTACAATTGGAGATTTAAACTGGTCAAAGTAAATATGATTGTCAAAATTGAAGGATGAATTAATAATTTAGTCTAAAAATGGATCAAAGGGAGTGGTTTTAAATGATTGGAACACGTTATTAGGGTGATGTTTCACATCAAAATACTATAATTTGGAAATAAATAAAAAAAATGACAAATTTGGTTTGGCAGTAGTGGGAAAACGGGCCGACAAGTCGAAATAGAATAATGCAGCCCAACCCGACAGAACACAGTCGCCTCGCAGACAACCCACCAGACATTGACTTTTCACTTCACTTCCTTCTACTCCTTTTTCAACAGACTGCGACGTCGTTTTCTGGTGGCCTGCTTCTGTCTCATGAGCCCAAGCCCATTTCCATTTTGGACATTTTCATACACATCATACAATTACCCTTTAAATGATTAAGCTTAGTTCAAATGATTAAGACGTTACAAACTTCTCAAAATATTCCACCTTTTACTGTCTTCATTGAAGGGAAGTAGTTTTACATGGTAAGAAAAGTGTTGTAGTAGGTAATTAAAATCTATAGCGTATAGCTCGCAGTAAATTGAAATAACTTTCGTTTGTAAATTCTACAAGTGATATGTGTAAGAAAAAAATTTGTGCAAGTGCCCCAAATAGGATTACGAGTACATTGGGCCAATTGAGCCCATGGGCCACATGAATTCGTGGCCCAATAGCAGGTTAAACGGACGGTTGTCAACTTTTTGTTGATGTCACTCGATTGACTTTGGCGCTTAGCTTTAGCTCGGAGTTGAACCGAATTTGGAGGGAAAATCACGGGATCGTCTCTCCCACTTCTCCCAGTGGTTCGAATATGATAATGTTTTATTCCCTTTTCAGGTAATTTTAAAATGCATTTCTTAAGCAGAAGAGCATTACACATGGCGTTGATTCCGATGCCCAATGCTCCACAAAAACATCCCCCAACTTATAAACCAACACAACAGTTCCCAATGTTTGACGGAAACCCACTTTCCTGCTTCCAGTACTGGTTTTGGAGGTATTATCTCGAACTTCATTGGCGTATTGTTAATATTTAATACAATTTTATGTCATTTGTTGGTTGTGAACTGTCTGCAATTGCTGTTTTGGTTGTATCAGGGTTCATGATGCTTCATAATAGGCACATATGGGGGGTTCTTTGTTAGAGTTGGTATTCTTTGTTTGAAAAGGCTCCTGTTCGGGGGGTTTAAGGTTTTAGTCTTTTTCCTGCTACTACAATATCTCACATTAAATCAGATTTCAATTTCGATTTGTAACTTAAGATATTTTGTAAGGAATTATCTTAGGATTGACCCTCATAGGAAACTCAGTTGCCTTGCTTGGGTGGTTAGGTGCTCGCTCTTTACTTTGATTTCTACTTATGGGTTTGTTATACTTGTCTACTTATGAATCTGCCTGTACCTTTCTTCTTCGTTGTTGGCAAAACTTTGCATCCGTTTTTTCTGATTCAAGGCTTTTCTTGTTCCGGCTTCACTTAATTTTTACCTTGATTATGATCGTTCGTTAGGTTTTTAGTTGTAATAGTTTGTGATCTCAAAAGAAGTAATCGTTCTTTGTTTCTGCTTGCAGTTTCCATTGAACTTTGTTTCTGCTTGCAGTTTCCATTGAACTTTGTTTCTGCTTGCAGTTTTCAATGAACTTTGTTTCTGCTTGGTGGCATCTCGCCAAAGTTTTTACAGGCCGGTTAAACTTAACTGACGAGGGACGACTGGAAGGAACAAAGAGTAATGTTTGAGGTCAACATGTTGGTTGATTGGATGCATGAGAAGTGGTCTGGAATTGTGCTTTTTCTTGTGTCGTCCACGATTTTCCATGTAAGAGGTACTTCTATTGAACTCTTTCTGGTAACGTTAAAAGCTAAAATTCAATTCAAAAGTCCTGTCCAAAACAAAAGATTCAATTTAACAGTTACCTCCATCTGTAACTCTTAGAACTTGCATTTTCTCCTCCAGTGTTTAGTTTATTTTATATTCTTTTATGTAGTAATTCATTTTGTTGGTAAGAAATAAACTTCATCAAAAGACTGAAATATACAAGGAGGCACTCACTTGTGGTTCGCTGTTCCTAATATTACTAAATTTTGAATATTCTCAAACTTGTATGATGCTCATGTCTTCTTATAAGTCAGAATTTTACTAAGAAGTTTCAAGTGAAGAAAAATCTTTCCTTCTCTTGTTATTTATCTGTTGATAGTATGTGATGAGGTTATGTTGCTGCCCCATATATTAAGTTCGCATATAGGTGTTGGCTGTGTGTGATTGCCATTGAACAATCTTGTGAACGTTAACTCTATTTGTGAGAAGGAAGCTGTACAAAACATGGTTAGAAAGAGGTGTTCGAAGTGTCCGTATGTGAAAAAATTGATTGTATCTAGTGCCTTACATTAGTTCCTCATATGATGGAAAGGGAGGATCTTTTGGTCAATGTATTAGACTCTTGAATAGTCATTGTAATATTATCACTTTATTCTCCTTCTTATCGCTAATGAATTTCTTTGATTTTATCAGGAGCATTTGTTGGAATAAACATTGGCACTCATGTTTCTAATCTTCCACCTGCTTCAAATGTGGTTTCTATGCTCAAAAGCTACCAAATAACTCATGTTAGACTCTATGATGCCAATGCTGAATTACTCAAAGCCTTTGCAAACAGTAGAACTGAAGTAATAGTTGGCGTTACAAATGAGGAGGTTCTAAAAATTGGAAGGTCTCCTTCAGCTGCTGCAACTTGGGTTAATAAAAATGTCGCACTTTATGTACCTGCAACCAATATAACAGCCATTGCTGTAGGCAGCGAGGTCCTTACCACCATCCCCAATGCAGCACCGGTCTTGATCCGTGCCATGAAATACCTTCATAAAGCTCTGGTCGCCGCGAACTTAAATCTTCAAGTCAAAGTTTCGACTCCCCAGTCTATGGATGTCATTATTTCGTCTTTCCCTCCCTCTACTGCCACATTCAATTCTTCATGGAACTCCACCATTTACCAACTCCTTCAGTTTTTGAAAAATACCAAGTCCTATTATATGTTAAACGTTTATCCTTACTATGGATACATCAAAGGAAACGGAATTTTTCCACTAGATTATGCTCTTTTCCGGCCATTGTCTATAAACCGGCAGATTGTTGACCCGAACACTCTCCTCCACTATAACAGCATGTTTGATGCCATGTTGGATGCAACCTATCATTCAATAAAATCTCTCAACTTTAATGGTATCCCCATTGTCGTGACAGAGACTGGCTGGCCATGGTCTGGTGGAGCCAATGAACCTTATGCGACCAAGCAAAATGCTGAGATGTATGTTAACAATCTGATCAGTAGGGTTTTGAATGGTTCAGGTCCTCCTAGTGAGCCAACTATACCTGTTAACACGTACATATATGAGTTGTTCAGTGAAGATCAGAAACCTGGGCCTATTTCAGGGAAAAACTGGGGAGTTTTTTCAACCGAAGGTTCTGCTATGTATCGTTTGAGTTTGATATCCAGCAGTGTCACTGGAAGTTCTTCTGTCCTGTACTGTGTGGCAAAAGACGGTGCAGATCCTGGTAAGTTACAAAATGGTCTGAATTGGGCCTGTGGTCAGGGTGGAGCTAATTGTTCTGCCATTCAACCGGGGGAGCCATGTTTTCTTCCTAATAACATCAAAAGCCATGCCTCTTATGCTTATAATGACTATTATCAGAAAATGCAACGCAATGGTGGAACATGCGACTTTGACGGCACAGCAACCACCACTAATATCGATCCAAGTAAGTTCCTTTTATCACATCTCTTAGTTCTTGCTTTACCTGCAACAGTGTGCTGCTTTACCTTCCATTGTACTGTTACCGGATGCTTTACTCTTTTCTCTAATGGATATAATTTTCAAGAGGCATGAAGCAAATAGATGGGTAGATGTAGATAACTAGGGGGAGAATGGGTTCAGTCTCAACCAATAGAGACCTGAATCGAACCAACTTACTCTAACATGAACCAAATTGACCCTAAACTGTCTGACTTCACCTTAACTATAGTACTATGTTAAATTATCGAGTATCAACGTTCTTGTCCTCAATCCTCAGGATTTTTACAGAAAGGAACGTATTACATATTCTTTTTCCATATTAACAACATTATCAACCTGGGTTGGTCTACTTGTGCAAAGGGACCAAGTGAAATTCTAAAGAATTTTGAGGGAATGAGTTTAAATCATGGTGACCATCTACCTAAGATTTAATTAATATCCTATGAGTTTTTTGAGACACCAAAGTAGTGTTCTAGATCTAGTATCTAGAAAGAAGAATCACATTTGAAACTTTTCATTATAAATGTCTTTATAATTCTGATTATTTACTTCCATTCAAGTTTTATCCATCCACTCCAAATATATAAACACATACACCGCAGTGGATGCGTACTCTGTTTCCTAATATTTGTATGACGCCTTCTTGCAGGTCACGGATCCTGTGTATACACTGGAAGGTAAACAAAATGATGCTATTGGCGTTCTGCTATTAAATCACAGAAAAAGTCTATACATTTGCTTTGTGCAGTATGGTTTATCTGGACATTTTTCTGTAACAGCTCTAATCCAAGCGGTGGTAATGGGGGTTCTCCCCCAGCTCCTTCAGTGACCCCAGTACCAGGACCCTCCAGCGATATTCCTGGTGCAAGTTCAAAAGTTGAAGCCTGGCAGTTTCTCTTCTTGTTGTCACCCATGCTTTTGTCTGCTTTGACTTGAAGTAAGATGCAAGCAGCAGCAGTTTCCTGTTCAACGAAATCTTCGACATGCAGTTTCAACGAAATGCATGGGCGCAGGATCATTTTGATTGAACTTGTTGTAACGTTCTGTATGTATATATACAAGTGCTTTGTAATTTTATAAAGAAAGAAAGGGGTCTTTTGTGCTTTGCATATTGTCCTATCTCTCTCTCTCTCTCTCGTTATTTATTTAATTATTCAGATTTATACTTGAATGTGATTTTCATTTCTTTTATGGAGAGGGAAATACATTGTTATGAGTAGTATAAAGCTCTAGTCTACAAATTGACTACACAAAAGTTTAGTAAGCCGGAATCAAAGCCGCCTTTAGGCTCAAAAGCGATCCAGGAAATTGACCTCTGCTGCACAAATCCAATAGATCCCACGTGGAATCATTAGCATAAGTTGGAGGGATCGAACAGTCTATATATATTTTTTTTCTTTTTTCTTTTTTAATAAAGAATGTACCATTAAATTATTGTTTCGAAAAAGAAAACAGTTTTCTGTATCTATTTTTTTTAAATTTGAAATATAACATCTTAAAGGTGTAGGATTTTAATGCATATAGAAAAGATCAATGATTTTTTTTTCTTTTCCTACCCTAAATTTAACTCAATTGATTCAGATATCTATCTCCAATTAAGAGGTGAGTTCAAATCTCTACCCCACATATGGTACTGGTGAGATAATATTATATTTGAATTAGATATAATTTAGATTATATTATTTAACTTAGATATTATTTGAATGGATTTCCTTATTCTAATTATTTTATTATAAATAAGTTATTAAGTTTGTATCCAGCCATTTAAAGGAATGAAATTTTATTGGTTTGTTCTCTCTCTTTTCTCTTCTGCCCTGAAAGTTAATAGTGCTGAAACAAAAGATTAGTGATACGTTTTAACCGTTAAACTTTTCAATATAATTCGGATATTGGTCATTTCAATGAAATAAAAAGAGTTTGGTCAGAGTGTGGTCAGTGACGAATTGAGGACAAATTTATAAAAAAGAATGGAGTTGGATTGGAAAATCTGAAATGTAATGGAGGGAAATCGAGAGCAGCGTCCGCAATTGCCTCTCGTAGGTGGGGGGCGACCGTCTTCCTCATCCTCCTTAGCACCTCCAACTTCATGGGCGTCCACAACTTCGGTTTCTGCTTCAGGCAAGAGAATTCAAAGAGAAATGGCTGAGTTTAATTCCGACCCACCTTCCCATTGCTCCGCTGGCCCAAAGGGTGACAATCTCTACCACTGGTTCGCTACCATCTTTGGCCCTCCTGGTAACTGCTACCCTTCTACTTCTTTCACTTTTAGAATTTTGATGATGCCGTTTCGGTTTTATCGCTGTTCATACGATATCTGGTTTCCCCTCTTTTGGTCATGCTTTCCCGTTCTTCTTTTACTCGCTCGCTTCCGCCAAAGATTTCTGAATATTTGGCGTGTTTATGGACAAGGTTTTAACTTTTCTGCCAGATTTTTATGATTAAAGTGTCTTCAATTGGGCATGGCCGTTAGGATTTCACTTTCCTGCTTTGTTAGTAGCTTTACTTCTTTCGAGCAGTTATTTATCATCTTCGGCACTCTCTCATTTGTTACAATTCTGAACGGATGCTCGTTGAAACTCAGATGGGGTTTTATTACCTGATTGCTAAACATATTCTTTGCCCTTTGCTACCTATAGTTTAGTTACAATTCTGAAGAAAGTGATTAGGGTAGTTTCCAGGCATGTAAGTTATCAAACTGAGTAAATGGAGTCAGAGTTGGAGAGAAGCTAATTTTAGATCAAAGTTGTCGAACCCACAATCTTCCAGATGGAACTTGAGCAAGAAACTAAGTATGCCCCAAAGAAATACACAGTATGCTGCCATGGACTTCCTACCATGCTCGTGCTCAAACCTAATCCGCAACTATTTAACTAATATCTCTGAAAACAATACACAAAATGATCAGGGTAGAAGATGCTCACTGATGGAGTTCTATTACCCAATTGTTTGATGCTGAAGAACGAACCAGTCTATTGGACATTTGTTGCACAAAACTCAGAAGGATTTGGAAGAATGAACTCTAACTAAATAGTCACACTACACTAATATATACAAATTCTTGAATGGATGATTGCACAACCATTGGTGTCGAGGAATTTCAGCATGTAACTTGCTGAATGAAGGGAGAGTCGTGCGTTTCTGTTGGACACAATAAAGTATAATACTACCTTTCTCCTCTGCATTAAGTGAATTGTTTTTAGTGAAACCGAGTGTTTGATAAAATAAACTTCCTCATCAAAGTCTTACTGAAGAAATAGTCAGGCAAGAGAAATAAAAGTTAAGCCTATGTCCATCGTGTCTGATATTAGTTTATTAGACAAGAAACAATGCAATGAAGGGAACGGAAAATGATGCTCAAGTGATGTTTAATGGCATAGATTATTTGATAGGCAGGAAAAGCTTAGGTTAAAAAGTAAACGACTTCATAAATCTAGTACCAGCGAGCTCCTTCCTCTTCCTCTCTTTGTCTCAGGTTTCTTTTTCTCCTATAAGTAGTAGACATGAAAGTATAAGTCATTTGTCTATAGAGTTGTATTCACTTTGATTGTTTGATGACTGAGTATAAATACCATCTCCAATAGATGTGTTGGTGGCAGGTTTTTCATTTTGCATTCAAGGTTGTGTTTAGCTGTTCAATTTTACATAGCTCTTTCCGGCAGTAGTAACCTTGACTAATATCTTTGTCTTGTTTTTAGGAACACCATATGAAGGTGGTATATTTTTTCTTGACATACTTTTTCCATGTGATTATCCATTCTATCCTCCAAAGGTACTCTCACTTACATCCTTAAAATTTAGGATACAAAATCTAAAATTTCTCTTGCCTTCATCACGAGCATGGGATGATCATTCTTGACCTAATGCACACGGTTCTGAGTTTTATATCGTTTGTTGATTTATTAAGAAGGATCAGATCTGCAGGTTGTATTTAAAACCCGAATCTACCACTGCAATGTGGATTCCGCTGGTAATGTAAGTTTGGACATTCTGAAGGAGAACTGGAGTCCAGCACTGACAATCACAAAGGTGTTAATTGCAGTGAAGTCGATTTTTGAAAATCCAAACCCTTGTGAGTCACCCTTCTTTTTCTAAGGATTGTGCTCTGTCGAAGATGCAGCTGTTACAAATGCTTACTTTGCCCACTTTTGCAGATGATCCAAACGCACCTGGCGTTGCTCACTTGTACTTAACCGATAGATGTAAGCACGACGAGATAGCTGCTGAGTGGACACTACGTTTTGCCAAGTGAATGGAAGCAATATTAATGTTTTGGACATCATTTTTTGAAAGAAATTGCTTCCACTTGGTATTTTACTTTGTGTTTGTTGATCACTTGAAAACACCTGCTGGGTGTTTGCCAAAAAGTTCACCAAGAACACCGGAAAGCAAACTCCAAAGTTCTGGGATGCATGGGTGGATGAATGGTATGAATGATTTGTAGTATCAGTGATAGTCCTTTGAGATTAAAGCGTCAAAGTGTAAGAAAAATCAGTGTTTTCTTCTTTCACCATGCTAGTCGGCCGTTTGGTATAGGAAAATAGGATCGAGGTCGGGGTCGGGATCGGGATCGGGAATAGAGATGGGACTGAGTAAGGATCTTGCATTGATTTATTTGGTACAAGTTCAAATAGAAAGGTATGAGAACCATGTATTCTTTGAAATCTTTTATACCCACAGACAATGGTTCATACACACTACCCTTATATTATGTGCTCTCGCTTCTTTTCCTTTTTGTTCTTTTAAATATATTTACTTATATTATTTAATTAAAATAGTTAGTATGTTTCAATTAAATCTATGATCTATAAGATTAACATAATTAATGCAATTCATTAATAATATATTTAATTAATCTTAATTAGTTAAATTAATTTAGAATAACCAAAAAGTTATGTAAGAATTAGTTTCTCAATAATAAAATTAATGAATGTATTAAATAATATTAATTTCTTGAAATTACAAGTTGATTATTTATTTTTTAATATGTTATAATTTCATAAAACACATGTAAACCTAATTATTTTCAAGAATTTTGATGGCATTGTTACGTAGAACCAAACATAGTAATGTTTTATTCTATGTTTTATTCCCAACAATTTCATTTCAAGGTACGTATTATCACGAACAATTTTTTTTAAGTTGGAAGTATATGTCAATTACAATTTAGTTATGTTTGCTTTGGCACTATCACCAACAGGTCCAACAGTTGTTACCAAACATGCTATTGAATTTATCAATGCCAATTAATCATTGCAATACTTAAAAGATTTCAGAATTTATAATTTTCTTTAAAAAAAAAAAGTTTGAATTTTGTAACTTTTTAATCAATGCAATCCTCAAAAGTTAAATTTATAAATTCAAAACGGCACATTGTGCATTGTGCTCAAAGAAGTCGTAAATTCATTTGGTGGTCCAGTTTGGTGTAAACCATAAATTCTGAAGATGGTAATAGCGTGGCTGACCGAAAGCCACTATTTCAGGCAAGTCTTCAGAATACTGTATTTGAATCCGCTGGCCATCGCTGCCATCAAGAGACTGATTTATAAGCTCAATGTAGAAGTGATCTTGAACTCGTACGGTGATAAGGAGAAGGACGAATGGGAAAGAACATCTGGGAGTTGGGTGTTGAAGATACTGTGAAGGCAGGGTTGAACCTGGAAGAGGCTGTAGAATTCGATAGGATTCTGCAGAATGTAGTGCTCGTGCCCAAAAGATCGGACCCAAGAGAGGTTTGGCGCGAGCTCATGGCTCGGAGAGTGCTCAAACCCACACACCCATATGGGCTGCATCAGCTTGTCTATTATTCTGTCTATGCCAATTGGGATTCCTCCTCCAATGGACCTCCTCCCTACTGGTTTCCTTCTCTGTAATGTCTCTCGTTCACCCAACTTTTATACAGTACTCTGTCTTTATAATGCACATTTTGCTGTGTTGTCCCAAATGCTTATTGTATTTTCTACTTGTAGTGATCAATCTAAACTGACAAACTTGGGGAAAATTATGGAGTTACATGGTCCAAAGCTATTGGGAGCTTCATACAAAGATCCTATATCAAGTTACAGCCTCTTTCAGAAATTCTCCTCTCAGCATCCTGAGGTTTGAGTTAAATTCTGAGCTGGGTCTAACTCATTTGGGTTTAATAGGGTCAGGGAAACTGTATTCATTTTGGTGATGACTGTCATGTCTTTTGACGGTTGTAGATTTACTGGTCAATTGTTCTTGAAGAGCTTTCTGTTACTTTTCATAAAGAACCGAGGTGTATTTTAGATATGGCTGAGAAGTCAAAGGGAAGATGGCTCCCTGATTCCATCCTGAATATTGCTGAGTGTTGTTTGCTTCCTTCAAGTCGCCCATTAAGAGATGATAATAGTTTGGCAATTGTATGGAGGGACGAAGGCGGTGATAATTCAAACGTGAACCGTATGACGCTGAAAGAACTTCGGGAGAAAGTAACGTATGCTCCTCTGTCCTCTCTATGATAGTTCTAATTGGTGTTGGTATGGTGGAAAACAACGTTGCATTAAATTTATTGCTGATAATATAAGGGAGAGGAAAAGAGGTTTACTATGAAGTGGTTCTCTTGGAAAGCGGTTTAAATTTGTCAAGTCTTGCATTTCCTCCATTATGTAGCTCTTTTTTATGAGATCTTTTGCCATGCTCTTCAGGTTGGTGGCAAATGCTCTTGATGCAAGATTTTCAAAGGGTGATGCTATCGCCATTGACATGCCAATGACAGTTCATGCAGTTATCATATATTTAGCCATTGTTCTAGCAGGATTTGTTGTTGTGTCAATTGCTGACAGTTTTTCTGCAAATGAAGTTGCAGTTCGTTTGCGTATATCGAACGCAAAGGGTATCTTTACTCAGGTAATTTTGTTAAAACTTTTAAAATTAAAAAAGGATGAGGAATCTCTTCCATGCTTTTGTTATAACGTATTGTCATTGATTTCTCTTTCTGATGAATTAAACTGAGTCTTCATGTTTTGTATGAATCTGAAAACTGAAAGATGTATATTTTGAGTTCATTGTGCATTTCTTTTAAAGTGAAAGATCAAGAATTATAAAGAATTTGATACTTTGTATTATATATGTTGCCATCGTGATGGAAACAAACATTCAATTCAAATATCATTTACTTTCACATTTGTCTCTGTTTTCAGTGTTCTATGCTCAATTGTTATTTTGGATTTTAATCAGGATTTCATATTGAGAGGAGGCAAAAAGTATCCTTTGTACAGGTGAGGTGACCAACATACAACAACTATGCGTTATAGTCACAAAAAGCAAGCTTTAATATTGCACTTAACAATGGCTAAGATCTTTATCTGCAATGCACCAAGAAAGAATCGTTTTTGTGGATGGAATGACGTTAATAGCTCATTTTCTTGTCTTTCAAGGCTTGTTATCAGTTAAACAATTGGTAAAATATAGCTAGTTGGCAGAGATTGCTATCATAACTTGATTATCAGTCAACTTAGAATTAAAGCCTTCTCATAGTAGGTTTTTTGGAAACTCTAGACGTTACCATTTGACAATTTTTTTCTCCTTGCAGTCGAGTCATAGAAGGTGGGTCGTGTAAGGCTATTGTGATCCCTGCAACTGGAAACACCCTGGAAGTTGATTTGCGAGAACAGGATTTATCATGGGAAGAATTTCTCTCAACTGCAAAGGAGCTTCCAAGGTAATGGAATGACCATGCTAACTTGTTTCTTTCTTTTAACCCTTTTGTAAATTCAATAAACAATGTCCACTTGAATTCTGCTGCTGGTGAAGGTAATGTTCCAAAGATTACCAACAGTGCTGATTATGTTTTACCATGTATGAATCAATAAAATTTGAACTGCATGATGGGAGCATTTTTATTTGCAGATCAAATTGTTACTCTGCAGTGTATCACTCAATAGATGCCATGACTAACATTCTCTTTTCATCTGGAACCACAGGTAAAAAACAATTTTGAGCATTTTTGTTTTAATCTTCAGTTACATAATGATGTCTCTCCTAGCACCTTGTGTTATTGTGTGCACTGATGTAAGAAAAGGTGTTTCTACGATATCTTGACATCGCCATTTGCTATCTTCTTTAAACTTCTGGCCCAAATCAGGAGATCCAAAAGCAATCCCGTGGACACAACTTTCACCAATTCGTGCCGTTGCTGATGCCTGGGCTCATATAGATATTCACGTTGGTGACATTTTGTGTTGGCCCACAAATTTAGGATGGGTGGTGGGACCAACTTCACTGTACTCATGCTTGTTAACTGGTGCAACTCTTGCACTCTATCATGGATCTCCCCTCGGCCGGGGGTTCGGAAAGTTTGTCGAGGTGAAATCCTTGTTGGATACCTCTGTTCTAGTTTATATAGGGCTTAATTGCCCGACCTTTCGATTTGATCTCCGGGATAACTAGTTTCGGTTTTTAGAAACTTTCTTCCTGTGCATTTGTTGTAGGATGCAGGAGTGACCTTGTTGGGAACAGTTCCAAGCTTGGTAAAAACTTGGAAGGATACACAATGCATGGAAGGCTTAGATTGGACAAAGATAAGGTAATGTTTTGGATGAACTTCTGATCAAGTTATCGCATCAATATCAGTCCAATGGACTTTGATGTTGATATCTGCAGGTATTTTACTTCCACCGGGGAAACCTCGAATGTCGATGATGACCTCTGGCTTTCTTCAAGATCGTATTACAAACCGATAATCGAATGTTGTGGTGGCACAGAACTTGCTTCATCCTACATCATGGGAAGTCCATTACAACCTCAGGCATTTGGAGCATTTAGCACAGCATCTATGACCACAGGATTTGTCATCCTTGATGAACATGGAATGCCTTATGTGAGGAAAAGAAATAGGCATATTTGTCGCTCAGCGAATTTTTTCTTGATGCAGAAATCATGTGTCTTATATTTCTCTGTGTTTTGTGATTAACAGCCAGAGGATCAGCCCTGTGTTGGTGAATTGGGTTTATTCCCTCTGTATCTGGGGGCAAGCGATACATTGCTAAACGCCGATCATGATGAAGTTTACTTCAAGGGAATGCCAATTTACAATGAAATGGTATGGTCAACTGGCCAAGCTCAAGCATACCCTTCTGATCTGTAATCGATTTCTATTGCTCTGTTACGCATCCGAAGGAATGTGGATTATAAGTTATAACATAAGTTGAATAGGAACGAAAGAGAGATCTCATTTTTGAAAAAAGCAAGCAGCCATTCTGAATATATTTTCACCTTCTTCACTTCAATGCAGCAACTGAGGAGACATGGAGACATCATTAAAAGAACTGTTGGAGGCTATTTTGTTGTTCAAGGTAGGGCTGATGACACCATGAACCTCGGCGGCATCAAGGTACTGCATAATGTTTCCTCTGATTCTCGACTTCCACTAACAAACGACATTGTCGATACTTGATAGTTTATGCTTGGACTTCGACCACATTGAATCATGACAGGTTTTGCCGAAGTCGAGTAGGCAGCCATTTCGAGTAACCTTGAACTCACTTGCTTACTCCCTTCAGTTAAACCATGTATTTACTTCCCAACTATCTCTTTCTGTTAAACCTGTGTAGACAAGTTCGGTTGAAATCGAGCGCATATGCGACCATGCCGAGGAAAGCATATTGGAGACAGCTGCGGTCGGTGTGTCACCTATAGAAGGTGGTCCAGAACAACTAGTCATTCTTGTGGTCTTAAGAAAGGGATATAGAAGGTCCCCACAGGAGCTGAAAATCAAATTCTCAAAAGCAATTCAAAGCAAACTTAACCCCTTATTCAAGGTTGGATATATATATATATATATATATATATATGTTTATTTTGTTTCAAGTTTTGTGCATATAAGAGCAGTAGAAATTTGAACTTTAAAATGAATGAAACTGCAGGTGGGGTTTGTGAAAATTGTACCAAACTTTCCACGAACTGCTTCCAACAAGTTACTGAGAAGAGTTCTGAGGAAACAGATGAAGGATGAGCTTGCTGTTCGAAGTCAACTTTAGAGGCAAAGTTCAAAGGCTGCAACCACAATAATTGCCAACAAGGTTGAAAAGAAAACTGATTTTTCAATACTGTGTAATAAAATAGAAGTCATGTAATTGCTGAACTCTAAAATAATAACAATAATTGAAGTCTTGTAGACATTACGAACTCTAGATTATGTACGAGGCAAACAAGGAATGAACTTTTGGATCCTCTACTCATAAGAGGAGCCATAGGAAAGTTTCTAAATACAGAAAGACTGTCAAAATATCAGATCTTGGCAAACTCAATGCTGTTCTTGCCATGATGAGGGTTGTTGTAGAAATGCCTGACGTAATCCGAATACAGAACTTGCTTGTACTCTGGTTTCTGTCCGGTGGCAAGAACCTCCGACAGAGGGCCAATGATGGCGGACGGCTCTGGGTTCACAAAGATGGGAATCGAGATTCTGTTGCTGCTTCCATTGGCCGCCACGAAATGCTCCACGCTCTTGAATCGCCCGTTGCTCATTATTTGCAGCGCATCCCCAATGTTGATCACCAGCGATCCTGGCACCGGCGAGGCGTGAACCCATGTGGCGTCGCCGTGGGTTGGTCGCCGCACGTGGAGGCCGCCGACGTGGTCCTGCAGAAGGACGGTCAGCGTGGAAACGTCGGAGTGGCGGCCGACCCCGAGGGCGAGGTGAGGGTTTGGACAAATGGGGTAGTAGTTAAGCTTGATTCTCTTGGAACCCATTAACAGAGATCGTTTGGTTTCGTCAATTTCTACGACGCCTAACTTCTCCATCAGAATCTCAACCACTCGTTTTACAACTCCTTCCGAGCTCTTCACGTACTCCACCATTTCATCTCTGTATGCATATACAACAAATTAGGTTACACCAACAGAATCGAATCTAGGTTGAATTGGTACCTGCATAGGGGCGGCCAGAGGGCAGAAGCGTGATCATCAGAAACGTAAAAGAGGTTCAAATAATCTTTCTACTCCAAGGCTTTCTCGGGCGAAGTGCCGAAGTTGGTGCCGTAGGTTGCCGAGTTGTCGTTCAACTTGAAGAAGCGGCTCTTCTCCTCCGGCGACATGTCGAAGAAGCGGCGAGCCGCAGCCATGGCATTGTGGAGCACTCGCGGAGGAACCCCGTGGTTCGTCACCTGGAAGACGCCCCAGTTCTCGGCGGCGTCGCAGATGGAATCGGCGGCGTCGTGTGACATGTCGATTATGGGTAGCATGGAGACGGACGACATGGTTCTGAATCTCTCCTCCGGAGGCTGAATGAATTGGAGAGGGAGAGCTGTGAGGCCCATTTGGGAAAGCACTTTCACTCCATTCCCTTTGGTTATGCCAAAATCAGTCTCATCAACTTCTTCTTCTTCGTTTCCTGTTCCTGAAGCGCTTCTTGGAGCCATTGCCATTGCCGTTGCCATTGTTTCATATCAGCTCCAGAAAACTCCTTTTTGCTTTTCCAGGAAATCAATAAAGTGACACGTGGACCCGCCAGGTGGTGAAGATCTTAATGAGCTGTCTTAACTACTGGTACCGAGAGTGGAGAGTGGAGACCTGGCTTCCACAACCTTATCCGTAGCTCACATTTAATCATTTCAGTTTTGGTGAAATGTCATTATCAATTTAGTAATTTTTCTCCATCAACATGAACACCCCTATCTAGTACCATAAATTTTCAGTTCCACCTTACTTTAACAATTATGTCCCTTAAATAATATGCTTAAATTAATTGTTTTGAGTAACACAATCAAACTGTTATGTAATCAAACGTACCAGTCCACGTCAAAGTGAGTATAGCTCAACAATAATTAGAATATACCTCTAACTATGAGATTTTGAGTTCGATCTCCTAACTCTACAATGTTGTGGTAAAAAAAAAAGAAAAAAATGTTCAAAATGGTTAACTCCTCGTTGTACAAAATTTAAATAAAAAATTATATAAGAGAAACAAAATCAAATCTTGAAAATTTGATGATTTATAAGGAAGAAAAGAAGATATCTATACACTAATAAAAAGAAATCCTTCCATGATTGATTATGCTCGCTTTGCCCATTTCTTGGAAAGTCTAGTTTTATCGGACTGGTTGTGTTAAGTAAACATTTGTTTCATCAAATAAATGATGTGTGTGTTTAGTTTTCCAATTAAATAATCTGTTAAACAAAAAAATAGCCACAAAGAAAATTTATTTTTATCCTTTTTTTTAACTTTTTTATCCAAATTTTAGGATTAAAATAGACTGTTTAAAAATTTTAAGAACTAAATTAAAATAAAAATGTAGAAGATCTGGTACTTAAATATATCATTATATTTTTCTTTTTAGAGAAAATATACATTAGTTGTTAATTTTGTCCTCCCTGATTTAAAAAGTTTTAAAATATTTAGAACATCACAAATAGAAAGGTGCAAGTTGCAGTGGGGCAATAGCAAATATGTAGCGTTAAATGAAACCTAAATTTGTCAACTAATAAATTTCGGCGTGAAGTTAAGTGTAATTAATTTCAACAATTAAAAAAATGCTTTTTTTTTGGAGAAAATGCAACGTTTTTTTTAACATAATTAAAAAAAAATGCAATTGAATATTCGAGCAACAAACTGTTGATAGAAAATTAATACATAAAAAGTGGGGTTATATTTGGTGAAAGAATTTAGGGCAACTAATATTAACATAGCTTGAATAGCAAGACATCAATGTTTTCTCTAATTATTCCTATGTTTGAATACATTTTTCTCATTTGTAATATAATACTATAAAAAATAGTAAATATATATATATATATATATATATATATAATACCATTGTCAAAATCATTTTTATTATAGGTAGATGTAACTATATCAATTATCTTAGCATAGTTGAGTGGATAAAATACTTATTATCATTTTAAAATTGAATGATTTTGTCCACATTCATTTATAAAGCTGTGTAAATATATTAGGAAATTATTTATACAAATTTCCTTAAATTAAAAATAGGAATTGTCTCTAGTAGGTCATATTATACATGATATTTTACAAATGTCCGTTTTTTAAATATTTACAAATCTAGATTTCTTGGATTTAAATAAATTTTTGTTCCCGAATTGCCTCAATAAATATCATTATATTATATTTTAAAATGTATTCTTTCATATTGAAAATTAATGGTCATTTAACGAAAATATTTACCTTCATAATTAAATGATAGTATTCTAATAAATAATTAAATAAATATGGTAGCTAATCAATAAACTTATTCTTATTTAATTTTCCAGTAGTTTTTTGAATTTTTCGGTGTATATTATTTTTTAGTATTTAAGATCTAGGATTAGGAATTATTTCTTTGTCGAAAAGAGAAATTGTGGATTTAGAGTTTAGAATTTGAGGTTTATGATTTTGTTTATTTATTAAAAATATATGAACATGGATAGTCGGTAATTTTTACATAGTTGCACCATAAACCGGCTTCTATTTTAACAAAAGTATAAATATTTTATTTTAGAGTTTGAAAGATTATTTAAATGTCAATTGCGCTGTTATCCCAATTAATTAAAAAAGTRAGGGTGAACAAAAGCTCGAACAAGGAGAGGAACTTTATAGTACTATTGGGCCGGGCCSAATTATAAAGCTTCAAAACGGATCTCCATGACAACATTTTGGTCTAAAGTAGGCCCAACACTTAATATTATTTCATAAACCAATATTATATTTTTACGGTATTCTTTCTTTTTAACTTTCAATTTTAAYTTCATCCRTCATTTTCTGGAAAATGACAAGCATTAAATATATATAAGAAAGCTTGTCAAAAACAATCTTCTCTTTTTTTTTTATCTCTTTTTCTTTTTTTATTATTATCATATATTTGACTTTATCAACAAATCCATAATACGCGACACATAATGGATTTTTTCTTTTTAAATTCAAATRGATGATGGTTGATCGTTACATCAATTAGCTATTAACGACTTTATTTCCTCTTCTTGAATGATTCATTTATTTCAATAATTGAGAAGTGAAGCAAAAGAAGCTTTCTCATTGGATCCGCATATTTGTTCTCATACTGTAATTAACTTTGAACCTAATTTCTACGTGTTGAATAAATTTGGTTTTTGAATTTTGAAGGTAAAAGTTTATCTAATGAAGTACCAAATATTGCTATTACAATTCTAAATTTAGAAGAGCACAAATATTTAATTGTATGCATTTCACACTATTCATAAAATATTGATGGGACATGAGTGTCAAAATAATTATCAATTGATTTTTTTTTAAACAAATTATCAATTGATTTGATGTTATAGGAGTTGACAAATATATGGACGGATGAGGAGATCAATTTAACTAGCTCATCTATCCTAACTCATTTACATCGTGCTAAATATATCACATCAACATTTTGAATTCAGATTAAAGAGACATATTATTTAAAATGTATTGATATAGTTGTCGAAATTGGCATAACTGTTAAGGTATATATCTCTAAAATTTGAATTGTTATTCTCTCAACTTCTGGTCTCAATGGAAGAAGTAGATGTCATTTTTCATTGAGCAAAATGACCTTGTATTGGACGGTACTATAATTAAAAGTTCCAATATTATCTCCTATTATAAAACGATTGATTTTCCTTTTTAAAGTTTATCTTCAAAGTTAAGTTATTAATATATGTTTGTATTTGAGATGGATGGCATAAGAACAATAAAGGAAATAGAAAATAATCAGGTTCTTACCCATACCCATGAAGCCTAACTTGTACTCTCACCAGTTGACAATTAAATAATAGAAATGTGAAAACAGATAATTAAAGAAAAAATGAGCTTTCAAATTTTAAACCATGGTAAATATAGAAATAGATCATCTCCCATTTTCACGACCTAAGTATTTAAAAAAAGAATAGAAAAAAAAAATCTTTGGCATGAGATAAATTTCCCATCCATATCTCAATTCTTAACCACACGGCAGGATTGTAAAATATTGAAATGAGGAAAATTTGATTACGCAGACCAAAATTTTTATAATCTCTTCCCACTCTGTAATGTATGTATGTACATCATCACCAACATCTACATTTACATAGAAGCTTCCAATTCCAAACTTAACAAAATTACGATAATGCCATTCCCGTACCCCAAATGGGATTTGGGATATTTTCGTCACTTACA